CAGATCTAAGTAAAGTTGCTCAACATATTGATCATCAGAGAGATGCAAATCAAAACTACCGTGAGATATCATCTCATCCTTAAAATGGCTTTTATTCAAAAGATGGGCAAATAATGCTGGTCAAGATGTGAAGACAGAACCCTTGTACACTATTGCTGGAAATGTAAATTAGTTCAGCCACTATGGGGAACACTATGGAGGTCCCTCAAAATACTAAAAATAGAACTACCATATGATATAGCAATCCCACTGCTGAATATATACCCAAAAGAAAGGATATCAGTATTTCAAAGAGATGTTTGCACTCCCATGTTTATTACAGCACTGTTTACAATAGCCAAGATTGGGAAGCAACCTAAATGTTCATCAGCAGATGAATGGATAAAGATTATTATTCAGCCATAAAAAAGAATGAGATCCTCTTTTTTGCAACAACATGGGTGGAACTTGAGGATATCACGTTAAGTGAAGTAAGTCAGGCACAGAAAGACAAACTTTGATTCATTTGTAGGAGCAAAAAATTAAGACAATTGAACTCATAGAGATAGAGAATAGAATGATGATTACCAGAGGGTGGAAAGGTAATGTATGGGGGGTGTTGAGTGGCAAATGGGGATGGTTAATAGGTACAATAATATAGACTGATAGAATAAATAAGATTTAGAATTTGATAGCACAACAGATTAACTACAGTCAGCAATAATTCATTGTATATTTTAGAATAATTTGGAGAGTACAATTGAAATGTTTGTAACACAAAGAAATGATGAATGCTTGAGGTGATTGATACCTCATTTACCCTGATGTGATTATTACACATTGTATGCCTATATCAAAATAACTCATGTACCTTGTAAATATGTATACCTACTATGTACCCATAAAAATTAAAGAGTGTATATCTCAAAAATGAAAAAGTCACTTGGATGGCAAACTTACCGAATTTTTCAGTTTAGCAGACAACTATATGTTTTTTGTTGTTGTTTTTTGAGACGAAGTCTCGCTCTGTCACTCAAGCTGGAGTGCAGTGGCACAATCTCCACTCACTGCAGCCTCCCCCTTCCTGGTTCAAGTGATTCTTCTGCCTCAGCCTCCTGAGTAGCTGGGACTACAGGCACATGCCACCTGCCCAGCTAATTTTTGTATTTTCAGTAGAGACAGGGTTTCACCACGTTGGCCAGGCTGGTCTTGAACTCCTGACCTCAGGCAATCCACCATTCTTGACCTCCCAAAGTGCTGGGATTCTAGACATGAACCACTGTGCCCAACCGGCAACTATGTTTTATGTACTTTACATATGTTTTATGTACTTTACATATGTTTTATATATTACTTTAATATATTGTTATTTTTCTAAAGTTTCTTTTCTGTCTCTGTTCAAATTATAATCAGCCTAGCCTTGCTCTGCACTTAAGTCTCTGTTCTTTTTTTCCTACCCAGATGATTAACTTAACTCCTACAACTCTCATAGTGGAAAAATACTGAGCTAAGTAATAATGAAATGGAAGAAGTGAGGTTTGGTGCTGAATAGAACTTGATTCCAGTTCTGGTTCTACTAGCTCTGTATCCTTAGACAAATTACTTCACTTCCTGAGCCTATATTTCTTTTTCTGTAAAATGGAGATCAGACCTATCTTGCTGTTTTTTTTTGAGATGGAGTTTCACTCTTTCACCCAGGCTGGAGTGCAGTGGTGCTATCTCAGCTCACTGCAATCTGCCTCCTGGGTTCAAGCAATTCTCAAAGTGTTGGGATTACAGGCGTGAGCCACTGTACCTGGCAATGTTTTGAGGATTAAATGAGGAAATGCTTGTAAAATTCCTGATTTTTTTTTTTTTTTAAAGTGGTCAAGTACAGTTCACACCTGTAATATTAGCACTTTGGGCGGCTGAGGTGGGAGGATCACTTGAGGCCAGGAGTTCAAGACCAGCCTGGGCAACATAGGTCTTTTTGAAACTTTGTATTTCAAAAAAAAAAAGCTGTCAAGGGTGAATCCCATTACTCTGTGTTTTAAACAAGCTTCTCAGGTAGTTTGAAGCACATTATCAACAGACACACTTTGGGAAATGCACTACGCTTGGGTCCTTAGTTCCAAGTCTAGGTTTGCTAGTAAATAGGTTATAGCATTAATTTTTAGCATTTACACTTTCTGGGCCTTATGTTTCTTCAAATATAAAATGAATGACTGAACTTGATGTTTTTTACTAGCTGTAAAATTAGAAAACTTTGGTTTTAAAAATTATTTTTTTTTTCTAGTGATGGGGGTCTTGCTGTGTTGCTAAGTCTAATCTTGAACTCCTGGGCTCGAGATCCTCCTGGCTTGGATTGCAGGAATGAGCCCCTGCACCTGACCTTATTTTATTTTAGTTTTATTGTTATTACTTTGTTTATTTTGAGGTGGAATTTCGCTCTTCTTGCTGAGACTGGAGTGCAATGGCATGATCTTGTCTTACTGCAACCTCTGCCTCCTAGGTTCAAGTGATTCTCCTGCTTCACCCTCCTGAGTAGCTGAGATTACAGGTGTCTACCACCATGCCTGACTAATTTTTTTGTATTTTTAGTAGAGACAGTGTTTTGCCATGTTGGCGAGGCTGGTCTTGAATTCCTGACCTCAGGTGATCCACCTAGCTTGGCCTCTCAAAGTGCAGGAATTACAGGCGTGAGCCACCGTGCTCAGCCTGTGTTTTATTTTTAAATTTCTATTTCTATTTTAGATTCAGGAGGTATGGCAGATTGGTTACAAGGGTATTGTTTGGTGCTGAGGTTTGGGCCTCTATTGATTCTATCACTCAGATAGTGAACATACACAATAGGAAGTTTTTTAGCCCTTGCCTGCCTCCTTCCTTTTGGAGCTTTCAGTGTCTGTTGTTCCCATCTTTATGTTCGTGTGAAACCAAGATTTAGCTCCTAGTTATAACTGAGAACATGTGATATTTATTTTTTTTGTTTCTGTAGTAGTTCACTTAGAATAATGGCTTTTAGCTGCATCTGTGTTGATGCAAAGGACATGATTTCATTCTTTTTTGTGACTGCAAAGTTTTTGTCTTATAACCCTAAATTTTTTTGAGACAGGGTCTCGCTCTGTTGCCCAGGCTGAAGTGCAGTGGCGCTGTCACAGCTTACTGCAGCCTCAAACTCCTGGGGTCAGGCAATCTTCCTGCCTCAGCCACCTGTGTAGCTGGGACTACAGGTATATGCCATCATGCCTAGCTAATTTTTACATTTTTTCATAGAGACTAGGTCTCACTATGTTGCTCTGACTGGTCTCAAACTCCTGAGCTCAAGCGATCCTCTTGCCTTGGCCTCCCAAAGTGCTGGGATTACTGGTATGAGCTACTGCAGCCAGCCAACCCTAAATTTTTGTTCTTGTAGATGTAAATATTTGGTCTGGTGGTGCTGATGCCACTTTTTGGCACGATTTAATGGAAGTACTTAAATGTTTTGTTATTTGGGAACTCAGAGTATTCTTCCTTCTTTGAAGACTGTGGTAGAACTAGATTAAGCAAAAATATTCAGGGAGATCTCATGGAACCTCAGGATGCAGTTAGGTCTTAAGAATTGGAGATTAGAGCAGAATGGGGAAATATTTTCCCCTGCAAATTGGCCTCAATCTCTTGACTTCTTCTGTCTTCCAGGTGGTATTATAGAAAATGGCCTTGGCCAGCAGCTCCTGAGTTAAAATGGCTTCCATTTTAGAAAGCTGCCATTGAGACTGGAATATCTTAATTCCAATTGCAAATAGCCAGGAAGGTAACTGTGATTGTACACACTGGGTACAGTGCTAACTTCTGGCAATGTCTAAGAAGGCAGACTCATGTTATTAAGATGGCCCTGGGATTCCTGCCACTTTTCTTTGAGTTGCAGGGCTTGGTTGGAAGTGGTAGTGGTAAACTGGGTAGGTATCCACCTCCTTTATGAAAATATTTCACTAATTGAGGAATCACAATGTTGTATTTTGCATAGAACCATTACAATTGAGTCTCATGGAAAAAAGTAGAAATAGGGAGAGACAGGCTAAAAGAAAAAGTAGGCTTATGCTTTTATTCTTAGTTATGTACCAGATGGGATGGAGCCTTCTATAGTTACTTCTACTGGACTGTGCTGTTTCACCAACAGTGAATTTTTAGATTGCTTTTATAGTTTTCCTTTTTAAAAATTATATAATATATAATTTTGAAGTCTCCTTATAATCTTTGTTTTATATATTTGGAATTAATTTTTCAAATAAAGAGAAAATTATATGAGGCTATAAAGGGCATTGGTAAAATGAAGCAGACAAGCTTTGCATTTTAATATATGTATTTTTTGAAACAGTGTCTCACACTCTGCTGCCCAGGCTGGAGTGCAGTGGCATGATCTTGGCTCACTGCAACCTCTGCCTCCCAGGTTCAAGTGATTCTCCTACTTCAGCCTCCTGAGTAGCTGAGATTATAGGTGCTTGCTACCATGCCTGGCTAATTTTTATATTTTCAGTAGAGATGGGGTTTCACCATGTTGGCTAGGCTGGTCTCAAACTCCTGACCTCAAGTAATCCACCCACCTTGGCCTTCCAAAGTGCTGGGATTACAGATGTGAGCCACTGTGCCCAGCCTCCATTTTAATTTTATCTCTGCCTTTAGTGACTGATTTTTTGATCTCTCTGTGAAGTGAACATAATAATCCTTATGGATTATCTGAGAATCAAATGCCATGATGTGTGTCAAGCTCTTATACTATGTTTCCTAGAAAGTAGGTGCTCAGTGAATGATAGATATTATCATTGCTATTTTGTTACTTAGAATGTACTTGGTGATCTTTGTGATATTCTACTCATGTCATAGACTGACTGTATCTTGGGCTTTAAATATATTGGTGTTATTTGAGGGTAAAGACATAAAGCATTTTTTAGATCTGAAAACCAAGAACTAGAATGTGAAAGGAAATACTTTTGCATTGAGCATTTAATGCTATGTATTTATTCATTAAAGAATTTAAGTGGAAATTTTTTTGATCTCTTGTTTAGTGTCAAACCAGAAGAGAAGTAAAATTCAAGAAAAATTTATGTGTGGAGTTCCTTCTTAAAAGAAGAAAAAGGTAATTATTGAGACTATGGATCGGAGCAAACGGAATTCAATTGCGGGATTTCCTCCACGTGTAGAGCGTCTTGAAGAGTTTGAAGGAGGTGGTGGAGGAGATGGAAATGTGAGCCAGGTCGGAAGAGTTTGGCCATCTTCATATAGAGCTCTTATAAGTGCCTTTTCCAGACTGACGCGTTTGGATGATTTCACCTGTGAAAAAATAGGGTCTGGCTTCTTTTCTGAAGTGTTCAAGGTGAGTGATACTTCAGCTTTTCTCATATTGTCTTGCTATGGTCACATTTACTGCAGGTTGATAGTTGTGTTTAATTAGGATGTAGGATTTGCCTAATCAAGGTGCTGTAGATCTTGAACACTGTTCTAAATTCTCCTTTCAAGCTATTTATTAACTTACATTAAGATATTTTTTGTTTGAATCCCAAAAATAATATGTGCTGGTTAAAAATTCAAATTGTATAGGAGTCTCTTCCACCTCACCTTTACCCCTACCCACACATGTGTATATGTATACACACATACATTCTCCAGTAATAACCACTATTAACAGTTTGGTGTGTATACTTCTGAACTCTGTGCTTATACATACATCATGCACACAACTTATATACATATATTAAAATTATATATATATATATACACCCACATACATAGTTTTTGTTTGCTTATCTTCAGTAAAATTGATAGCTGGGTATAGTGGCATGCATCTGTAGTCTGAGCTACTCAGGAGGCTCGCTTGAGGCTATGAGTTCAAGAGCAACCTGGGCAACATAGCAAGGCTCTGTCTCAAAAAACTATGAGCCTTAATGCTCCTAAGCATTCGTATTTCCCTAGTTCCCACCCTCCCTCAGGAGGGTCTTTTGTACCTTTTCTTCTCTCAACAAATCCCAGTATTTCCTCTCTTGTCCTTATTGTCAGTAATTAATGAATTGCTTCCTAACTCACTGAGAAAATTGACAAAAGTAGAAGAGAACTTCCACAGACTCCCATTACTATAAATAGCTATCCACATACATCTTTACACAGTTATTTGGCCTTTATACCTTGTGCTATGGATCAACTACCCATGTTCCTAAGTTCATTATTTCTGTTTATTTTATTTTATTTATTTATTTTTTGAGATGGAGTTTCGCTCTTTTTACCCAGTTGCTGGAATGCAATTGCACAATCTCGGCTCACAGCAACCTCCATCTCCTGGGTTCAAGCAATTCTCCTGCCTCAGCCTCCCGAGTAGCTGGGACTACAGGCATGCACCACCATGCCCAGCTAATTTTTGTATTTTTAGTAGAGACGGGGTTTCACCATGTTGACCAGGATGGTCTCGATTTCTTGACCTTGTGATCCACCCGTCTCAGCCTCCCAAAGTGCTGGGATTATAGGCATGAGCCACCATGCCCGGCCCATTATTTCTGTTTATATTGTACATCCCATTTCTACTTGCCTACTGGTAGGCATTGCCTAAGAAATTCTCCCCTCTCTTTTCTACATTGTCTATTCACTACTAAGTATTCCCATTAGCATGTTAAAAAAAATTCTTTTAAGGAAAAAATCCATTTTGGCTCTATTATTTATTTTATTTTATTTTATTTTTTGAGATGGAGTCTCACTCTGTCACCCATGCTGGAATGCAGTGGTGCAATCTTGGCTCACTGCAACCTCTGCTTTCCAGGCTTAAGCAATTCTCCTGCCTCAGCCTCCCTAGTAGCTGGGGTTACAGGTCCCACAACCACACCTGGCTAATTTTTATATTTTTAGTAGAGACAGGGTTTCACCATTTTGGCCAGGCTGGTCTTGAACTCCTGACCTCAAGTGATCCACCCACCTCAGCCTCCCAAAGTGCTGGGATTGCAGGCATGAGCCACTGTGCCCGACCTATTTTATTATTTTATTTTATTTTTTGAGACAGGGTCTTGCTCTGTCACCCAGGCTAGAGTGCAGTGTGGTGTGATCATGGCTCACTGTAGTCTTGACCTCCTTGAGCTCAGATGATTCTCCCACTGTAGCCTCCAGAGTAACTGGGACTAAAGGTGTATGACACCATGCCCAGCTAATTTTTGTATATTTTGAAGAGATGGGGTTTCACCTTTTTGCCCAGGCTGTTCTCAAACTCCTGGGCTCAAGTGATCCACTTGCCTTGGCCCTCCCAAAGTGTTGGGATTACAGGCAAGAGCCACCACACCCAGTCCCTATTGTTTCTTTTATTAATAGCTATACTTTCCCATGTCTTTTATTTTTGGACAAAACAGCTCCAGAATTGTCTCTACGTACCTTCTCTAAAATACTTTTTATCACAGTAAAATGTATATAACAATTTATCATCTTAATCATTTTTTAAGTGTACAGTTCAGTGTCATTAATTAATTACATTTATAATGTTGTACAACCATCCCCATTATCCTTTTCCAGAACTTTCTCATCATTCTAAGCAGAATCTCTGTATCCATGAAACATTAACTCACAAATCTCCCTTCTGTAACTGTAAATAGGTTCATTACCCAATGCACACAGCAAGTCAATAAGCTGAAACACCAGGTTGCAGCAGAGAAAGGTTTAATCATAGGGCCACCGAATGAGGAGATGGAGGGAAACCTCAAATCCATCTCCCTAGGAGTTTGGGGCTAAGGTTTTTAAGGGTTTTGGAGTGGGCCAAACTGTGGCAATTGTTTACTGGTTAAAGAGTACGGGAAGAATTCATAATATCTTCTATTCTACTTTCTGTTTTTATGAGTTTGCTTATTCTAGGTACCTTATGTAAATAGATTATATAATATTTATCCATTTGTGTTAGAGTTAATTCACTTAGCATCATGTTTACAGGGTTATCCATGTTGTAGCATATATCAGAATTTCATTCTGGCTATTTATTTATTTATTTATTTATTTTGAGGCAGAGTTTCACTGTTGTTACCCAGACTGGAGTGCAATGGCACGATCTCGGCTCACCGCAACCTCCGCCTTCTGGGTTCAAGCAATTCTCCTGCCTCACCCGCCCGAGTAGCTGGGATTACAGGCATGTGCCACCATGCCCAGCTAACTTTTGTATTTTTAGTAGAGACGGGGTTTCACCTCATTGACCAGGATTGTCTTGATCTCTTGATCCACCCGCCTTGGCCTCCCAAAGTGCTGGGATTATAAGTGTGAGCCACTGCGCCCGACCTCTGGCTAATATTGTTTTATATGTATATGTCATATTTTATCTGTTTGTTGATGGTGGAGTTGTTTCCACCTTTTGGCTATTGTGAATGATGCTGCTATGAATATTGATATACAAGTATCTGTTTGGTTCTCTACTTGGAATTTTTTTGGGTATTTAGCTGTAAATGGAATTGCTAAGTCGTATGAGTACTTCTGTGTTTAACTTTAAGAAAAGACTATGGTAAAATACATATAAAATTTACTGTCTTGGCTGGGCATGGTGACTCACACGTGTAATCCCAGCAGTTTGAAAGGCCAAGGTGGGAGGATTGACTGAGCACAGGAGTTTGAGACCAACCTGGGCAACATGATGAAACCCTGTCTCTGGGGAAAGAAAAAACAAACAAACAAAAAAACATTTTTTTTTCTTACCATCTTAACAGTTGTGTTACGTATGTACACATGGTTGTGCATCCAAACTCCAGAACTTTTTCATTTTGCAAAACTGAAACTCTGTACTCATTAAACAACTCCCCATTTCTCCATTCCCCTCAACTCCTGGCAACTAGTATCCTACTTTATTTCTTTTCTTTTCTTTTTTTTTGAGATGGAGTTTCACTCTTGTTACCCAGGCTGGAGTGCAATGCGCTATCTCGGCTCACCGCAACCTCCGCCTCCTGGGTTCAGGCAATTCTCCTGCCTCAGCCTCCTGAGTAGCTGGGATTACAGGCATGTGCCACCATGCCCAGCTAATTTTTTGTATTTTTAGTAGAGACGGGGTTTCACCATGTTGACCAGGATGGTCTCGATCTCTTGACCTCGTGATCCACCTGCCTTGGCCTCCCAAAGTGTTGGGATTACAGGCGTGAGCCACCACGCCCAGTGTATCCTACTTTATTTCCAAGAGTTTGACTACCCTAGATATCTTATGTAAGTGAAAACATACGGTATTTGTCTTTTTTTTTTTTTGACTGCCTTATTCACTTAGTCAATCTATGTTTAACTTTTTGAAGACCCACCAAACTGTTTTCCATAGTGGTTGTGCCATGTTACAGTTCTAACAGCAATACATAAGGTTTCTAATTTCTCCACATGCCCACTGGCACTTATTTTTCTCTTTTTCTATATCATGATAGTCATCCTAATTGGTGTGAAAAGTGGTGTCTCGTGGCTTTGATTTGCATTTTTCTAAATTACTAGTCATATTGAGCATCGTTTCATGTGCTTATTGATCTTTTTTGTGTATCTTCTTGGAGAAATGTGTATTTGAATCCTTTGCTCATTTTTGAATTGCGTTGTATTTATTTATTTTCTATATAGGGAATATTTATCCCTTCCTAGATATATGATTTGCAAATATTTTCTCACAAGTTGTAGTTTATCTTTTTACTCCCTTGATGGCATCATTTTTTGCACAGATGTAAAATTTGATTAAGTCCAATTAATTTTTTCTTTTGTTACCTTCGCTTTGTGTCAATCCAAGAAATCATCACCAAATCCAGTATAATGATGATTTTACACAATGTTTTCTTCTAAGAGTTTTATAGTTTTAACTCTTACATTTAGGTTATTGATCATTTTAAGTTAATTTTTCAATATGGTGTAAATAAGTGTCCAATTTCATTCTTTTGCCCTGGATACCAAGTTTTACAAGCACTATTTGTTGAAAAGACTGTTGTTTTCCCATTGAATGGTTTTGGCACCCTTCATGTCACAGTCAACCATGTTAGCAAGGGTTGATCTTTCTCTCTCTCTTTTTGTTTTTGTTTTTTTTTTTGAGACAGAGTCTCATTCTGTCACCTAGGCTGGAGTACAGTGGCACTATCTCACTGCACCCTTGACCTCCCAGGCTCAAATGATCCTTCCACCTCAGCCTCCTGAGTAGCTGGGACTACAGGCACACACCACCATGCCTGGCTAATTTTTATATTTTTTGTAGAGTTGTGGTTTCATGATGTTGCCTAGGCTGGTCTTGAAATCTTGGGGTCAAGTGATCAGCCTGCCTCTGCATCCCAAAGTGCTGGGACTACAGGTATGCACTGCTGTGCCCAGCCTCTTTCTTTTTCTTTTTCTTGGAGACTGGGTCTCACTTTGTCACCCAGG